TACTACACTTTCAAGAAGAACAGCGTGTAATGACGTAACTCAACGTCACTTCCGGCAAGAAAAACGCTAAAGTGTATGCAAGAAAAACAGACCTAATGTAGACAGAATGGCGTATGAATTAGCTTAAACGGTCCACTGACAAACGGAGACTACGACGTTGTACTAATCGATTTGGACGAAATTTATAGGATTAATAGATGACTATGTGGAGTATTGCAGAGTAAAATACTAAGACGCACTACTCAATTATTTGCGAGAAAATCGAATTTGAAAATTTCGAGTTACTTTATAAAGATATTAAATAGATCGTTTAATCAAGGAGTGCGTAGCGTAGCGATAGCGTACTAAGTTAGTAGTGTCGACGCTGCTGGTTCGAGTCTGGATATACTTTTTCTTCCAAAATTTTATTACAGTATAATTTAAATGTAAGTAATACGTTTTTTTTATTTATTGCATGTATAAAGTGAATTGTTTTGCATAAAAAATTCGTGATTTAAAACATATGATAAAAATAAATAGATTATTACTAATTACTAATTGTGTTTTTAAAAAGCGGATAAATAATTATACGCAACATGTTTTATTTATTGAAACTAGATGGAACAATACATAATGCAGGATGATATTTGTCATAAAAACAAGTGAAACAATAATTTTTACGACAGTGTGCACATCGTATGAACGCTGCATTTTTACATTCACATGATTTCTTTAAAATATCTATAGGAAGACATACTTCGTTGACATTCATAAATATCTCTCTCTCGTTTGTTAATTTAAAAGCAAACCATGCATATTGTACCATATTTCAAAAACTCGGGGCGGACATTTATGAATGTCAACAAAGTATGTTTTTCTATAAATATTTTAAAAAAACCATGTGAATGTATAAAAATGCAGCGTTCATACGATATGCACACTGTCGTGAAAATTGTTTTACTTGTTTTTATGACAAATATCATGCATTATGTATTGTCCCATCTAGTTCTAATAAATAAAACATGTTGCATATATTTTTACATGCTGCGTACAATGATTTATCCGCTTTTTATGTGAACACAATCATTAGGTAGTAATAATCTATTTATTTTTAAAACCGTATTTTTTGAATCACAGAATTTTTATGCAAAACAATGCACTTTTATAACATGCAATAAATAAAGAAAACCGTTACTTACATTTAGAATAAACAATTACATTTAGATTATATTATATAATTTTGAGAAGAAAAAAAAAAGTACATCGAGACTCGAACCAGCAGCGTCGATACTACTAACCTAGTACCTAGTACCATACCACTACGCTATACGCTCTTCGATTAAACGATCTATTTAATATTCTTATAAAGTAACTCGAAATTTTCAAATTCAATTTTCTCGCGAATGCTTGAGTAGTGCGTCTTATTACTTTACCCTTCAATACTCCACATAGTCATCTATCGATCCTAAATTTCGTCCAAATCGATTGGTACAACGTCGTAGTCTCCCCTTGTGAGCCACAACAGCACCAAACCAAACCTGTACAGCTAAAGTCGTGTGACAGTGTTTTCTAGCTATTATGTAAGTCTACCTATCGTACATTTTATTTCACATCATTTTCTATCATTTTATTTGATTTTTCTTATATCAATTTATTTTATTTCATTTAATTTCGACACTTTTTTATTCTCACTAACTCATTCAAAAACTTTTTAACATCTTTTGTAAAAAAAACTTTCCGTAACTTCAGCACATGTCACTTGACTTTGACTAAGAATCTGTTTTTATCTCAAATCTGCGATTTCGAATCTTGTAATTATTATTAAGTTCATATAACTCTTTATACATTATGAATAATTCCGTCACATTTGTAATTTACGTTTTGTAGATTTCTATTTATTACATTGAGAAAGACCACATCCATTGGTCGAAACGTTTGTGATAACTAAACAATAAAAAAACTTTTTTCAATACACTTGACACCAGTGTTCTGGCTCCAGAAGGCCTACATCTTCCTTTTTGCTTTACTAATATTTAGTTGTGCAAATTGTTATTTTTTCTCTTTCGACGTTTTTACTTTGCGTTTCTTTATGTGCTTTTTTATTTTGGTCTTCCGGTTTTCAGCTTGCTGTTTTTTGACTGTCTTTTTACGTATCTAAAATTTTTAAATAAAGTAAATTTTAAAATAACAAAATATAAATTTATATATATAAAGTAACATTACAGTTGACAATTTATAAAAAAATATCAAGATACTTGTTATGAATTTTTCTGAATCTATTCTAATAAAAGTTTTCCGCGTTTTTTGTTGTCACAATAAAATAATAATAAAAAAGCGAACTTATTTTAATCGTAATCTATTCTACAAAAAAGGACATAATAACTACTTTATCCGCTTATTCTATTAACGGATCAGTGCCTATTTTGATACATAATCTTGCATCTTTTATATATATATATATATATATATATATATATAAGATATGCATATCTTACATGTATATACAGAGTGTTTCAGACCATCCATATACACCCCATTTTAAAATGAGGGAAGTGGTTACTACCTTGAAGGTCGCACGGTCGATCTATATTCACCTCGAAGATATGTAAATCCGACCGTGCGACCTCTACGCGGTACATCTTGGGTAATTCTACCTAACGCCGGCGGTACTTAAATTTTGAAGTCTCATAACTCAGGAAGATCTCAACTAAAAAGGGTATGTAACCGGTGTTTTGAAAATGCCTTGACGTCAGCCACAAGAATAAGAAATAAAAAGGATTCCCATTTAAAAAATTCACGTCGACCTTGACATGACCTTCACGACGCCATTCAAGGTCAATCGCAAATGCCAATGTAATGCATTACTTGATCACCAACAACTTTTGTCTGAAACATTTTTTTAAATAACCACTTTCCTCATTTTTAAATGGAATGTGTGGATGGTCTGAAACACCCTACGCGTGTGTGTGTGTGTGTAAATTTTTTTGTACATATTTGTCTACATAAAGATTCGTAAGTTGTATGTGGTAAATGTTACAGAACAACTCTGCTAATTTCTTACTTTTTTGCTTTCAGGACTTTCATTTCGAGGCCTAGCTGAATTTATAAATTTACTTTTAATGTCATCCATGATTTCTATTTCACTGTCATATTCGCTATTAGAAATATCGCTACTTTCAGAAGAGCAACAAATATCACTTTGTTCTTTTATATTTTTGTTATGTGCTTTGTATTTATTAGCAAGAATCTCAGGTGTTTCTGCAGGTTTAGATAAATCTGCTTTTAAGCCAATTAATGTCTTGTAAATCAAATCCTCTTTTCCAGATTTTGCAAGATTTATATCACGTTCCACATTAATTACCTACAAAAAATCAAGTAGAAGAAAGTCTTGTAGTTTTAACAAATTTTTTTCACTTATTCCATATACACTTTTATAAGTGATAATACTTGAGTTAATCTTTGAGGAATATAAGAGTGCTTAAAAACTGCCTCTTCCACTTGTTGCTGAAGATTATTTTCCACATTTGTTCCTTGAATATACACATCCAAATATTCATCCATATTGTTATCATTTATAGTAGGATCCGTTATAAAATTAAATAGTCCTTGAAGTGACATAGCATCTACATTGTGTTTTTTGAAAAATGCTGGAAAAAAATACATATATACGTGAGTAGGATCCGTTATAAAATTAAATAGTCCTTGAAGTAGCATAGCATCTACATTGTTTTTTGAAAAATACTGGAAAAAATATATATATATATATATAGTGTCCAACACAATTACTTTAACATCTCTCGCAGGCAGGTAGAAAGAGTAAAAGTCGAAAAGTCCTATACCATTTAGCGAGATTCGCAATAGTTACCGAGATCTTAATTAACAAAGATCCGCGAATAAGCATGCATCGGGCTGTCTTACGCGCATAAGACAGCCCAGCGCGCTTCGCGCGGTTACTTTTTATTATGTATATGTTATAGTATATGCTGTTATATTGCTACAGGTAGCAATGTATGGGAGGAGCTAATATAACAGCATATACTATAACATATACATAATAAAAAGTAACCGCGCGAAGCGCGCTGGGCTGTCTTATGCGCGTAAGACAGCCCGATGCATGCTTATTCGCGGATCTTTGTTAATTAAGATCTCGGTAACTATTGCGAATCTCGCAAAATGATATAGGACTTTTCGACTCAGTTTTACTCCTGCTGACAAGAGATGTTACACCAATTGTCGAATATCTTGTGTATATATATATACAGGGTGTCCCAGAATTGGTTTAACATCTCTCGTAGACAGGTACAAGGAATAAAACTGAGGTGAAAAGTCCTATACCATTTTGCTAGATTCGCAATAGTTACCGAGATTTTAATTAACAAAAATCCGCGAATAAGCGTGCATCGGGCTGTCTTACGCGCGTAGGACAGCCCGGCGCGCTTCACACAATTACATTTTAATATGTATATGTTATAGTATATGCTGTTATATTAGTTCCTCCTATATGTCGCTATGGGTAACACCGTTAGCGCGCGAAGCGCGGCGGGCAGTTTTACGCGCGTAAGACAGCCCGATGCATGCTTATTCGCGGATCTTTGTTAATTAAAATCTCAGTAACTATTGCNAATCTAGCAAAATNGTATAGGACTTTTCACCTCAGTTTTATTCCTTCTATCTGCCTACGAGAGATGTTAAACCAATTCTGGGACACCCTGTATATGAATGTATGTATGCGTGCACTTATTTATATTTTGTAAGTAATATTGTTAAAATATTGTATTACGTACACGTAATATTACTACAATCGTTCCTGAGAAATTCTATCGCATTACAGTGGTCACGATCTACAGCCTGTGAAACGTCGATGACTACAATTGACCCATTGTGATATAACATGTTATATTCACTCAAATCAGCGTGAACAAGTCTACATTTATTATACATTTTCCACATTATTTCAATACATTCCCTATATAATATTCTTGATTTCGAATCTGTAAGTACTGCATCTTTAAGTTTAGGTGCTGGCCAACCATTTGAACCCAAAAATTCCATCAGTAATAGGTGTCCTCCACATAAAATTGGTTGCGGTGCCCTGATACCACCTTGTTTCAAACGTTTTAAATTTGAAAATTCCTTTTCTGCCCAGATTTTTACCATTTTTCTTGGATTGCGCAATGAATATACATGTTCAAAACGGTACTCCCCTTTGATATACTTTTCTCGATTTTTGAACTGCAAAATAGAAGTTCTATATATTTTGATAGCGATCTCATCATTTCTTTTGGATTTTGCATAATACACATTGGCTTCTTTTCCAGTAGAGATACAACCATTTATTTCTGCTAATATTCCTCTCTCAAACAGCTTATGCAATTTCTTTTTAATACGGGAATCTAACACATTTTCAGCTGTTGCATGATCACTTTTGTCTTTCATCCTTATGCGATCCCTATCAACACGTCTGTCATTTTCAATCAGTAAATTTGTTACATGGCCTGGTAACGATGGACCTCCATATTTTTCTAAATTAATCTTACTTTCATATCGAGTTAACAATTTATGCTTTGGTTGATAATTTGTTACTTTAGTCGATATATTTTGGATGTTGGGCCTCTGCAATGTTTTCTTTATAATATTTTGTAATATATTGTCTTCATTCAAATCATCACCATTATAATAATAATCGTCGCTGTTTTCACTATCAATATCCTCTTTTGTAATATGCATATTTTCTATTTTTTTCCTTACTTGCTCAGTTGATTGTAAAACTTTTCTTTGTAATGTATTTATCCTAAGCACATAAAAAATCTTATTTAAATGTAAAAAATAAGATAAAAAAATAAATATATTAAGATTAGCTTCTTCAATTCCAATCTTGATAAAATTATGCTCATTCAACATGTGTGTATACGAGATGAACAAATCCGACGGAAAAACTATATCTACTCTGAAAAATGAACTAAAGAAACGTTAAAATTGCTGCCTTTGAAGGTTAGAAAATCTGTTACTTCGACAGAATGTAACAACATATTCAATGGTCACAAGAGAGATTTTATACACAAGATTTAATTTATACTACGCTTTTCGGGCCGCTTGATGCTTTCTATCGATCATCCAAATTTTATTTTTGTTTATGTGTGTAAGCACAATATATTTCACTTTTTTCCACTTAAATCTACTTTTTAAGCTCATCAAAATAATAGAAAAATTCAGTAGGCTTTGTCCTTTTATGCTCTTTCACATAAACAAAACTAACAAATTTTGGGAAGTTAAAAGTATCAAGGGAGAAAGTAGAAAGATAAAAGTTTCAATGTAAAACTTCACTTTGCGTGGAACCTCGAAAATCTATGCGGAACTGTACATTTGTAAGCTTCGTTTGATGTTTGTTAAAACAGTTTTACATCTTATATAGTATGTATCTACTATGTACTACATTTCAAATATAAGAATGTTATTCTTGTGAATTATATACCAAGCATGCACATGTTCCACAGCTTATGTCGTTAGATTTCTGTTGTATACAGATTTCCTAACCCTGAATTTTAATATAACGGCACTTTAACTTGCTTTACGGAACAAATACGCACGTTTTTCTGCCAAATTTGTTCGTTCTGCAAATATATCTCAAATGAACATTTCATCAAGATGAGGCTGAGAGATCTAATCAAAACTATAATAATCAATAATCAAAACTATAATAGTTAAAGATATTAGTTATATAACTGATACAGTTATATAAAACTAGTACACAAAATATATTTATAAATATTACGTAAATTCACCTAAAAATTCAACTTAACTTGATTTTTATAAATTATTACAGTAATTGTTTATATATTTATTTAGAGTTAGTACGTGCAACTTACACATATTTACTTTCTTCAGCGTCACTAAATTGACCTTCTTCGAATATTTCTGACATAATGTATATTTTTCCTTATCTAAAATAACAACTTTTTCTCTTTTTTTCACAAAATTTGCTTTAATATATGTATTTACGAATATAACAGAGAGAAGGTTTGGTTCAGCTTGGTTGGTTTGGAGCATATATGTAATACCAGTGTGCCCAGTTTTGACTCTCTTACAGCACGCTGCAGCAAGCGGAGGGGATACGCACACAGGCAAGCAGCCGTGTACGTGTGCGCTCGACGCTTCGGCCGGCTTCGGGCGGTAGAAGAGAACAGAGATATGTCTACTGTCTCTTTCTTTCAACATAGGCATAGCGTACGCGGCTAAGCCTCGCGCTAGCAGCTGTATATCAGTTTTCGGCGTTTGCTCTTGTTCTTGCACGTATTACTTACAGAAACATT